AAATAAAAAAAAAAAAATTCACAATAGTTCTAAATATGAAAAAGTTATAGCTTTTTCATTTTCACAACAGCCCTGACCATTGCTACTTGTTGTCAAAGAACAAGCTTGAGTGGCGATAGTCAACCAGAGTTACAATCTTGCAAATGGGTTTCAATTTGAGGAGCAACTGAAACCGAAATGGGTTTTGATTTGACGTAAATTTAAAGGAAAATTGAAAGGAAAAAAAAAAGGAAATTGAAAGGAAAAGGAGAGCGAAGCTAGAAAATCAATTTGGCGAGAGATGAGAAAAAAAGAGTTATAGGCAGAAGAAAAGGGGGCTTGATATCATATTCAATTTGAGGATATTTCGGAACATTTTATGATATAAATGTCACTAACTTATGTTTTAATAAAAGCACTTATTAATAGAGATACTTATAACAACAAACTTTCATTAAATAATACTAAAATGTTGCATTTCAGATGAAGAAGAAGTTTCATAAAATTATATTTGTAAATATAATAAAATTTGAGAACTATTTCACTAAATTATAAAAATTAATGATGTTTTATGTAGTAAATACTGTTATTTAAATATTTAACCACATTTGAGACAAAAACACCGCTACGATTATAAAATATAAAAGCTGGTGACGTTTATTAGCGGAACATCATAAAAAAAAAATGCCATCAAATGTCCTTTTTCCTGTAGAGATTGTAGGCGTTCACATAAGCATTTGGTTGTCGTCTATCATGATTAGCGACAAACTGGCATGATTCAATGTTGAAAGGCAATTATTAAAATATAAATATAAAAATACATATTTATCATTCTACATTAATGGTATCTTGATGCATCTGTTGCTATCAAGTGTCTTGAAAAAGGAAAATACTAAATTTGCCTAAAAAGTTTATTAGTCTGCCGTTAAAGTCCTCAGATAAAAGGGTAAAATTTATGAGATCAGTGAGAATTTCCTTTCAATGAGTAACTCAATATAACATGTTCCAAAAATATATCTTATTAATTAATTAAAAATTTACAAACTCATTCTTTGTAACATTGTCCCTTTCTTTTTTCTTGAAATAATCCAATTATTACAGCCAGTACAAAAATTCCTAGCACGTTTTCTATCATGTACAGAAAGACACCTAGTAGATAAGTTGGCAGTCCAAAGCTACTTTAGCTTCTCCCCGTAAGACGGAAAAGCAAAAAGCTTCGCTAAAGCAGAATCATTTCTACTTCTTTTATCCATACACTAGGAATATATAACGCAACTAATGTAAAATATAAGCTACGAGTCTCTTGACTGGTAGTTGTTTGGCATTCCATTTTCCTATATTAGATTGCCGAAAAGGAATTATTTGTTGAGGTAGATGAAGAAATATTTGTTGATCGAATCTTAGATAGCCATTTGATAATCGATTATCATAGAATTGGCTCAGCTTTTCTTTAAGGACGACTCCTACGCAAACCTTGCTTGTTGCTTTTAATGTAAGTCTCTTCGTCTTTTCTCAGTACTTTTTTTAAGGCAGCACTAGCTTTTTCTACCTTTTGGCTTTCTCTTTTTTTTTTCCCTTACCGGATTTTAACCATTTTCCTTGGTAACAAAATTTAAAGTTAACAAACATGCATACGGGACGGCGAAGCCCCACAAGCCAGATTAATATCCCAAAGGAATTTTAGTTACTGTACCAAAACAAAAAGAAAAAAGAAAGTCGTTTTAGCTCAAATTTTCATATATAAAAAGAAGGAATCTTTAATCACCTCAAATCAATACTGCCTAACATATTTTTTCTGGGATTTAAAAGGAGTTATGACTTAATTTTTCCATTTGATAGGAATAATGGCAATAAACATTAAGCTAATGGTTGATTTAGAAAATAGCATATGTTATTATGGATCTCGATGAATAGATTAAAAAATTTTTCATCCTTATCAAATATGTCGAAGAAAGGATATGGATTTTCTTTGTGAACAGATTTTCATGGCAACATCAACTATATTTGTTCCCGTAAAAAATTTCATTTTCTACTCTGAATGTACCTCCAAATCTCAAATTAACCATCTACAAATGTGTATACATGTAATATGTGCATGTGCAAACATCTTATTTTGGTTGGATAATTGGAATGCACGACATCTTAAAAGATATCTAAGCGGGCTATACAACTATTTTAAAAATGTGTTATGCAATTATGCATAGAAAAATGATTTGGGACAAAGACCTAAAGGCCAAAATAACAAATAAATTCCAAAATTTTACCTCTTTATCTAAAGATTTATTTGTGTGTGCAGTAAGATTCATTTTAGTGAAATTGAAATAAAGGTGACGATGAGATTAGTTAACGTAATAATGAGATTAAAATTAGAAATAAAATATGTGTTTGAATACAAAAACAGAGATAATGATGAGAAAAATTTTAAAAATTCTTTAAAGATATTAATTTAAAAGTAAATTGAAAAGATTATTTTGATACATATTTTAATTCCACTTAACATTTAAAAATATTAAAAAATTAATTATTTAAGGGTACAATTAAAAAAATGAATAGAAAGAGAATTTTATTTTTTAAATTAACTAAAATTATTTTAGAATTAATAAATGTTTGAATATAAGGATAAAATTGGATTAAAAGAATATTAGTGTGGGTAGAAATGTTCAAAGTGGGATGCAACGACTCACTACATCCCTTCCCCATCAATAGAAATTATTCCTCCCACTGATGCCACATAGGATCAATCACACTATGATTCTGCTGTCCAAATCAGGGAATTAAATAGCAACGTGATAGTATAATAATAGCCGTTATTTTGCGACAGCACTTTTGGCCGCCACCGTTATCTTAAAAAAAAAAAAGGAAGCAGTCGGGAATTTGAAACACTCCAAATGGTGCGTTGCTACCACAAGAGAATGCCATAAGGGGCAATAGCAAAAATAATAGTCTACTTTATTTTCGCTATTGCAACTATCCTCATTTTTTGTCCATATTTTTTATTTTTAGAAGAAAAAAATCAATTCATTCAAATTCAATCTCAAATAAAATCAAGTATAAAAGAACAAGCAATTTGAAGGTAAGAGTAAATTAAAATTACATTTTTAAAAAAAAAATTGTTGGCTTGCTGCAAATTGCTATCGAAAAAAATCTCTATCGATTGATCTTTGACTAGGAGGCTGAAAGGCTATGGGCTATGAGTTGAGCGTGAGTTGAAATTGGTGGGGGAGAAAGGAGGCAAAGATTGGAGAGCTCAATCAAGAAAGGTTAAGAGGGGAGGATTTTACTGATTTATTGATTTAAGGGTTTGGGTCCTTGTGAGAAAGATAAGAAAAAGATGAAGTGTGAAGAAGAAAACATAGAGGCTACACTCTGGAGGAATGGAGGCTGGGATGTGTGGGTATTGGACATTGGATTAAAGGTTGAGGTAGGAGGGTTTAGGGGCGATGAGTGGGTGAAAGCCGAAAGGAAATAAAGACTTAAAAAAAAAAAAAAGGATATTTGGAGAGATGTGGCCGGTGAGTGGGTTTGATAAATTGATAGGCATTAATGCTAGCTAGAGGGTATGTTTGGGGGGTGTAAATAGGTGAAAAGCAAATGGAAATTTTAGTAATTTTGTTATAATATTGAATATAATATTGGTTCAAGCAAAAATTTCGTACAAAATAAAATATGAATATATTGTTATAATCTTAAAAAAAAAATTATGAATAATTTTTTTAAAAAATAAAAATATAAAGTGTCATAAATTACTTTAAAAATCATAAAATAAGAATTTTTATGATTATTATTATAATAATTATATTTTTTAATGAATTTTGTAAAATTTTAAAAAATTCATGATCACGATAATCATTATAATTACAATGGTCTCCGTTATTTTTATAATTATAATAAATGTAACGCGATCGAAAATATGACTACAACCATAATTTAAATCTTTGGTTCAAATGAACAGTCATGTTGCAATTGCACAAAAATATGCTTAATCGCATCATGCCATGGCTATGATGAAATCCAAACTAAGCATAAGTAAGTTTGTAAAGTTTTAATATATTTAAATAAATTCGTGCATTTTAATTTAAATATAAATAAGTTTTTTATTTTATTTAGTATCCAAATAAACTTTAACTTTTAATAGAAATTAAAATTTTTTTTTAAGAAATATATTTTTTTCCATTTTCAATCATGTCACTATGCCACGTCACTTTCTATGTAGAGAGAAAACGACCAATTGCAATTAATTGTAATAAAAATCAACTTTTTATTTGAAATAAAAATTTATTTGAATATAAATTAAAGATTAAAAATTTATTTAAATACAATAAAAAGTACCAAAAAAGAAAGAATTCAATGCTGCATTTATATTTTTAATATTTTAGTTACAAGCAAATTTACAATGATCATCAACCGGATGTGGTTGCGTTGCATGTAGATCAAATTATATCAATCTCGTTCTTATAGGATATATTTGGTATACAAAATTATAATAAAATAAAATAAAATAATATTATGAATAAGATTATATTAAATAATATCATCTTATATTGTGTTTAATATGTGCAAGATTAAAATAAGATAATTTATTTATTGATTAAAATTATTTTTTTTAAAATTTTATATAATTTCAATTATTGATATAATTTTTAAAGATATAATAAAATATGTAAGTTTAATTTCATGGATTAAAAATAATTCTCTCCACTTTGAGATGATTGAATCATCTTATACCAATAAAGATGATTAATCCTTCTTATAATCATATCTCTTCATTTAAATACAAACTAAATATAATATAAAATTATTATTATTTTATCTTATCTATAATCCTATGCATCAAATATGATCATAGGAACTAATATTCTAAGATATTTTGTAACCCATGAGAACCTTAATTATAATTTAGAAGAGAAAGAGAAAGATAAAGGCGATTTGCAAAGCAATTCTATCACACTACGAAAAAGAAGAGATGGGGGCTTAACAAAAGCAAATTAAAGAAGAGTGGTGGGCTTCACCTTTAACTTTATCTTTACCGCTTCTTTTTCAATGCCAAACAGTGTCTTTAGCTCTCCCCAAGCCCTCTTTTTCCCTTTTTGTCTTTAACCTTGAACCCAGCGCCGGGAGGTTTGGATGCGCAGTGCCTCGACCACTGCAAGCATTTTACCCACTCAGTATCTTTTTTCACTGAACCCTCAAACACAGCTTAAGTACTAAAATCAGAACTCACCATCGACACTCGAAAAACAAAACCTTCAAGCTTCCAATTCATATGCTCTTCCCTTATCCCAACTATATCTATAGATATTATAGAACTCATGCTTTTATATTCTCCATTAAATAAAGAAACGCACTAGAAGACTAGAAACAAACTCCAGATAAGGCTAAATAATCATTCAAAGAAGCCACCAAATTAAGATGGAGATATTGTCACAGATGTGGTCATTCCTCGGACTCCTCACGGTCCTTCAGAACATCTTGCCCTCGCATCTTCTCTCCCTCCTCCACTCCTTCTACGAGTCCCTCCAAGACCTCTTCACCCCTTACTCCTACTTCGAGATCCCCGAATTCAATGGCTACTGCGGCGTCGATCCCAACGACCTTTATCGCCATGCCAACCTCTACCTCAACTCTGTCAACCCTTCTGCCACCTGCCGGCGTCTCACACTCTCTCGCTCCAAGTCCGCAAATTGCATCTCCTTCACTGTGGCTCCCAACCACACCATCCACGACACCTTCAATGGCCACAGCCTCTCATGGACTCATCATGTGGAGACGGTGCAGGACTCGCTAGAGGAGAAACGCAGCTTCACTCTCAAGCTCCCCAAGAGCCACCGCCAGACCCTCCTCAAGTCCTACCTTGATCACGTTAGTTCAACTGCTGAGGAATTTGAACGTGTGTCACGTGAAAGGAGGCTTTTCACCAACAATCGGCATGGGTCGTATGAGTCAGGCTGGGTATCCGTGCCATTCCGTCATCCCTCCTCATTTGACACACTGGCCCTTGAGCCAGAACTGAAGAAACAAATAACGGAAGACCTCACAGCTTTTGCAAGCGGGAAAGAATTTTACCACAGAATCGGACGTGCATGGAAACGAGGATACTTGCTCTATGGGCCTCCTGGGTCTGGCAAGTCAAGCTTGATCGCAGCAATGGCAAACTATCTTTGTTACGACGTGTATGATTTGGAGCTCACCAAAGTGACAGACAACTCTGAGTTAAGAGCTCTGCTGATCCAGACTACCAATCGTTCCATCATAGTGATCGAGGACATAGATTGTTCTGTTGATCTAACGATGGACAGACTGTCAAAGAGATCATCACGTTCACGGCCGCAGCCACCAGTAGCGATGAAGGGAAATGATTATCAGGAGAATAGCAGAGTGACCTTATCAGGGCTATTGAACTTCACTGATGGTTTGTGGTCTTGTTGCGGAGAGGAAAGAATCATAGTTTTCACCACCAACCACAGGGACAATGTGGATCCTGCTCTGGTTAGGTGCGGTCGCATGGATGTGCATGTCAGCCTGGGAAGGTGTGGGATGCATGCCTTCAAGGTCCTGGCTATGAACTATCTCAACCTCGACTACCACCCCCTGTTTCAAGCGGTGGAGAGTTACATAAGCTCTGGCGGTTCCTTAACTCCAGCTCAGATAGCGGAGGTGTTGTTGAGGAACAGATGGAATGCTGAAGTGGCGATGAAAGAGGTGGTGTCTGCCATGCAGTTGCAGTTGCAGACGCAGTATAATCAAGGCGGTGATGGGGCTGACTACGACGAGATATTGATGACTAGGTCTCCGGAGAGTGCGTTAGCTGTGGGGTCGCCAGAACCGTGGGACTCACCTCCTTTGAAGGTTGGCGGAAACGGGAAGAAAAGGAAAGAAGGGTCCAATGGAGAGAAGAAGGTTAATTTCTTAGTGAGGTTAAGGTCTTTGACCAAGTATGATTCTGACAAGAGAGTCTTATGAGCAATTAGAATCACCTGTACTCTCATTTTATTTTTATCAAGCATTTTCTTATTTGAATCATAAAAAAAAATTCGATTAATTTTAAATTAAATTACTCAAAATATAACTATATATTAATTTTATTTTCCTTAACAGAATAAAATTTATTAATCGATCGAATTTAATTTGATTAATTTTTAAGTTAACTAAAATATAGCATGTAATAAAGTTATATTATATTTTAAGCTATTAATATTTAATAATTCAAATAAATTAAATAAAATCATCAAACAAAATATTTAAATATTTAAATGTTAAATTAAAAATCCTAACAACATTAAACTTAAAATATCATTCAAACTGCTAACATTAAAAATAAATGTTTCATAAAACATAAGAATCATCTAATGCCTCCATCTAGAGGTAATAAAAACTAATGTGATCAATCCAAATTTATTTGAATCTAAGTTAACTGAAATTTAAATTGATGTAAATCATTTGATTTGAATTTGAATTGATTTGAATTCAAATTAATTCAAACACAAATCAACTTGAAACCAAAATGATTCAACTTTAAATTTAGGAAAAAATTAAATTAAAATTATTAAAATTTTATATTTTCATATTTAAGGGGAAAGAAAATACAAAAGTTGAAAAGTGTTCAATTAATTAATTAAATTGGTATATAAAATTTTATTAATGTTTTACTAATAAGTAACAACATATAAAAATTAATTGTTAACTTTAAACAAAATATAATTTAGAGGTAGAGTAATAAAATTATATTTATTTATTTTAATTATTAATATAATAGTTGTATTAAGTAATTGGTATTAAGATTAGTTGTATTAAAAATTAATATTTTAAATTTTCTTATGAACAAAGTTTAAAAATTATACAGTATAATTTGTATGTATACAATTATAATTATATTGTTTTTTTTATATACATAATTAACATTCAAAATCAAATTTTATAACTTAAAAATTAAAAACTAAACCAAACCAACCAAAGTGAAGTCATGTCATGCCATACCTACAGCAATAGATAATAGGTAATTATTATCTTCATTTTTCATTGTATATTTATGCTATTTACTATTGAAAATATCAATTATTTAAATTAGGTTAATATTATGTCTAATTAATATTGATATTTTAAAAAAGTTTAAAATTTTAAGATTGTACCGTTATATCAATTAAATAATCAATATTAAAGGTACATTTTTTATATTATTGTACTCTTTGGTGATGACTTTAATGGTAATTTTTTTTTGCCAATGATGGTGAGTTTTCTTTAAATTAGTTAGTTGGTTCTCATTTTCAATTCATACTAATAAGTAGATAAATATAATTGTATGAAAATATCAATATAAGTCACTAATATTAAATTAATAATTAATAAATAAAATATTAAAAATAAATATTAAATATAGCTAATAAAAACTCATTAATAATTTTTTTTTATCATAAACAGTGTTAATTTTATATTTAAATATAACCCAATTTCATATTATTAGCAAAATACTTTTAGTTATTTAACTTTGACATTTTAATTTTTATATAACTTAATTATATTTATTTGATTTTAAAAGGTAACAAATTAAATATGAATAATCAAAGTATTGAAACCCAATAATTCAAAGATCTAATTCAAAAAATCTGAGATCAAAATGATATGAACACGAATTGACCTAACTCGAATTTCCTTAAATCCAAAATGATCCAGCTTTTCTTGACTCGAGTTGATCTAAAATTGAAAAGATTGTAGCCTGAAATGATTCGATTATTCCTTGACCCAGACCCGACTTGATCGAAACTAAAATGTTTTGATTTTTCCTTAACCAAAATGATTCAACCCAAAATAGTCTAACCCAAATTTGATTGAACTCACTCACTTGCCTTCTTTAGCTTCATCTAAAAGCTCATCACTTAGAGTGTCTTTGAATGGAGAATTTTGAAAATTTTAAGAAATTTGAAATAGATGCATGTCACAATGCATCATTTCAAAATATTATCATTTGTACTTATTTTATTTAGATAAATATTTATTCCAAAGAAATTTAGTCTATCAGAATTCGATAAAAAATAATTATAAAAGAAGAATAATAATATTAAAGATAAAAAATATATGTATGAATAAAATGTACAATATGTATATCATTAGGTTAGTAAAAAATTATAGATATTATTAATAATATAAAAAATTAAAAAATATATTATAGTAAATAAAATAATTTTTTTTAGTTTTATATTTTATGGTGTGTCATGTGCAATAAAGAAAGAACAAATTTAGAGGAATTTTGAAAAACCACTTATTTAGGTGAAATTTCAAGAGGAAATTTAATCACTTCAAATTGCATCTTGAAATTTCACCTAAATTTTAAAATTTCTCTTATTTTCAGCCAAACAAATAGATTCATTTTTGAATTTTTAAAAACTTTGATTGAAATGAAATTCTTCCTCCAAATATCTCATCCAAACACATCATTATGCTTTTTACCCTAAGAAAGATTCATGCTGTCATGATATCCACCTGTAGTGAAAACAAGGGTTTGTTGTAGGGGAAAAAGCCAAAAATCCATTATGCTTCATTTTCTTTGCACAAATGTGATTGGACAAAACTGTAAATGCATAGGCCGTACAAGTAATAATAGTAACAAAAAAATCAAGTTGTTGATCCCACGAGGATTAGCTAAAGAAATTTCCAGACCAAATACGTTTTATCTCTATACCCTTTTAAAGTTGGTTCAATCAAAAAATAAGCATGAAAATTAATTATGAAAATAAAAGTGAATAAAGCATAAAAAATATAAAGCTAAGTAAATGAGAAAATGAACAAGAACATGTTGACAGATTAATTGTCAAATCAAGATCAATTTCCTGATTTGTTGGGATACCAAATCAGGATCAATTTCTTAATTTATTGTAATTTATATTTGTAGTCTTTTATTTGTTCTTATGTTTGGATGATTGTGTCTTGCTTTTATGGGTTCTTGTACATATCAATTCCTTTATATATTTGGGGATTGTTTTAATCAAATAGCAATGAGAGAACATTTTTTTATCTCTATTTTTATGGTATTCAAAGCAAGGTTTGTTCTTGCTTTTTCTTTTCTAATGGCCAAAATAGCCATAATTGGTGCCTCTTGAGAGAATAGATCAAAGATGATTTTTGAACCAATTATTGCATTTACTACAAAGTGCATAATTGTACAAAAGGGTAACTATCTCTTTGCTTTGGGTGCAAAATCATATTCTAAAAGGTTTTAGACTATAGATTCTAGGTTGTTTGATCATATGACTGGATGTCATGAATTGTTTTCAACATATAATCCATGTTTTGGAAACGTTAAAATTCGTATTGGTGATGGATCACTATCCTCTGTTGTTGGAAAAGCAAACATTAAAGTTTCTAATATGACACTATTTTTAGTTTTGCATGTTCCTAATTTAGCAAGTAATTTAGTGTCTATTAGTAAATTGACAAAGGACTTGAATTGTGTGGCTAAGTTCTATCCTTCATATTATGAGTTTTAGGATTTACTTTTGGGGAGGATAATTGGCAATACTAAGAAACATGAAGGCTTGTTTTACCTTGAGGATCCTTAACAAGTGAATAAACAAGTTTTGGCTCTAAATGGTGAATCTATTTCTGTTTCTATTGAAATTATGTTATGGCACAACAGATTAGGACATCCTAGTTTTCCATATCTAAAAACTTTTTTTCTTTTTTTTTAAAGAATAATGATGCCCATTTTTTTCATTGTGAAACTTGTCAACTTGCCAAACATACTCATGTTCCTTATCCTAGTCATTCTTATAGATTTTCTAAACCTTTTTCTTTAGTTCATAGTGATATTCGGGGACCTTAATGGGAAAATAACATAACTGAAACTAGGTGGTTCATAACTTTTATAGATGATCACTCACGAGCTTGTTGGGTTTAATTATTGAAGGAAAAGTCTGATGCTAAGGTAATTTCAGCTATTTCACAAATTGATTGAAGCACAATTCTACATAAAAAATGGGAAGGAATATTTCAATTCAATTCTTAGTGATTATCTAAAAGAAAATGAGATTTCTCATCAAAGTTCTTATGTTAACACCTCCTAACAAAATGGGGTTGCAAAACATAAAAATCATCATTTATTAAAAGTTGCTCGTGCTATAATGTTTACTAATAATATTCCTAAGTTTTTTTAGAGGAAAGCTATTTTAACAGCTCATACTTGATGAATAAACTTCCTAGTAGAATTCTCAATTTCAAAATACGATTGAACAAGTTACTTGAATCATATCCACAAACTAGGTTATTTACTTTTTTACCCCTAAAAGTTTTTAGTCGCACATCTTTTGTTCATAACAAAAGTCCATCTCATGGGAAATTAGAACCTAGAGCTATAAATTGTATCTTTCCTACTAAAAAAGGGTGTAACAAACATTTGTCTCATTAGATGTCACATTATTTGAAAATCAACCCTGTTATACAAAACCAACTTTTTAGGGAGAGATACTAGGTGAAGATAGGCTTTAGGATTTTTCCATTTTGCTTCCTATAACATTTACTATTCATGTTGTGTCACCAATAAAAGCTAAGTTGGAAACAGGGATAGATTCATCTATGCTTAATCATCAATAAAAAATAAAGTTTCATGTTTATTCAAGACATAAATCACAGCCTCAGGAAGAATAAACTTTTGTGCCCTAGTTGCATTGTTAAAAATTTGATCTACAAGTAAATTCTAAATTAAAAATACTGAGCTAACAACACCATCACCAATGAATACCGATCTGTAAGTAAATTTTGAATCAGAAAAGATTGTGCCTACCATACCATCACCAGTGAATACTTCACTTGATGATCTAGACATATCTATAGCACTTAGAAAAGGTGTGAGATCATGCATTCAACATCTATTGTCCAATTATCTATCCTAAAGTCATTTGTCTACTGCATTTCATACTATGATAAAAAAGGTTAAGGCAATTAAAATCTCATAAAATATTCATAATGCTTTAAAAATCCTAGAATGGG